CTCTCCTCCTCGTCGTCGTCGTCTCCTACCTACTACGTATATATATATATATATATATATATATATATATATATATATTGCTGTAGTTTGTTTAGTTCATGTAGGTGATATTATAATTTAAAAATACCATTAATAAAATTGGCAGATTCTAATTGTTCTGTATTTATGCGGACTGCTTTCAGGAATTATTTGGTGGGGTCCAAAAGCTGTCCCAATAATACTGGAGTTAATGACACATGTTGCCAATGGAGATTAGATACCAATCCACCTTATCACAGGACAAAGAAGGAATTAGTGTTTAAGTTGACCGGACGTAATCATCTTGGAAACATCACGCAGAATATCATTGTGGACCACTACAAGTTTGGTATGTTAAATTTCTTTTCTTTTTCTCACAAATTTAACTCCCAGAAATTTTTCTACTAAATATTGGAAAAGTAGGTACATTTGAACAAAACTGGATTTCATGTTTTGGTCAGGTGATTTACCACCACCTTACCAATTGTACAAAACCCCAGTCTGAGGGCCTTTTTTTTTTTCAGGTGAAACATTTTTTTGGTAATAGTAAAAAAGATTGCGAGTCTACTTCATCAGACAATACTTATGAACTAGTTTATAAACTGTAAATGTTGTTTTAAATAAACTATACTATATAAAAATTCTAAAATATTACTTAAGTCATTCTCAGCCTTGTGTATTTCTTTATTTGTTAGGATTTTTGTTTTTAACTTTCTCTTACCAGATAGAGATGATGAAAAGTTTGAGACTGATTAGCTATAACGTAATTTATCTTATGTTTCTCCCTAAAAGTTATTCCTAACAAACCATGGGGACTGCAGGCCACTGGAGAAACACAGAAAAGCATCAAACTCAATTGGTTAAGCCCAAAAGACTTTGACATCTGGAACTTTGAACCTGGTCTTGTTTATGAACTTCGCTATAAATCAAGGAGTAACAACAACCAAATGTGGAAGGTTTGTATTTGAATTATTTGGTTTGTGCAAGATAATGGATTTTATAAATATTTTTTTTAGTAAATTGAATAAAGGGATCACTTGCAAGTTGTTTTGATTTCTTGTTCTTTCTGTCTTCTGTACATAACTTATCTTGGTAGGTTTAGTACAATACGATTTTCAAAAATGAAAACATGCACTTGATTAAATCAAATCATTTCAATACTTTATGATAAATTTGCCTGATAGTAGGATGATTGATAACCTCTTAACAGGAAGAAATGTTAGCTTTCCAAAATGTTGAAACTTTTTTTACCAATCCTCAAAAGTGTGATAATGAACCTGTGTCACTTGGAGGCACATGAAACTGAAAACAAAATCATGCAGTTACTTGAGAGCTCAACTAGTGTGGCTCTAATGGCAACCAGATAAAATCCTAAGATAAGCATTTCATCCCAAATCCAGCACCAAAAATTCCTGATAAGTAAACTTATAGTGGCTTTGACATAAAGTTTCACATCTCTCTAAGAAGTCTCACTTCCGATAGAACAGTTCTTCAAGTATAGTATGTCTTGTAACTTTTAAATGTAAGTCTTATACACCTCCCACCTTGTACAAACTGGAACTGCTGTTGTTTTAGTATGTAATGCATACCTTACAGAAATTGCCGACTGTTGTGTAACACTTAAAATGTTTAGATTGTGCATCAAAATGCAAATTTTTTTACCCCTTTTATGGACTTTGTATCTCAACAGAAATTTGCTTTAATAAGATTCAAGATTATATACACTTTCATCAAATTCAATATTACTTAGATTTTGCTGCATCTTGACAGAGATCATTACAGAAATGTCATTGGTTATTGTTGTGGAACTTGTACATTCAAAGCTTGAGAAAACATTAGAATTTGAATTACTAAAGAACTGATATTTCTTTTAACATTAGACACCTCAATATAACTATCTTTATAATACTTCTTAGAAGTTTAGGATTAAGGTTATCTTATGTCAGTCTACTTTTGTAATGTGTTGTCAGGCTGTGATATTAGTTTACTCAGTGGCTTCACAGTTTATAGAATTAACAGAACCTTTTAATGAGCTGATCAAGTTGAACTTCTATGAAATGTAAATGAATAACAGGATTTGATAAAGGTTTCCAAAAATGAAGTTCCAAAATGAACTGGTAGTGAGCTCCAGTGAGTACCAGCAACAGTGTATCATATGATTTACAATGGAACACAAAAGTTTATTAGCTTTAGTTTTGGTACATTTGAACGACTATCATTGTATATGTTTCAGATTTCATAACAAATAGTTCCTGGGTAAAAAAATAAAATCAGCCTTTATAACCAAAGAAAAGTATACTTTTTATTACTTTACATTTTGCTTTACAACTTCTTCATAGGTTTGCAATCTAGCTCAAAGCACAACAGAAAACACAAAGGTTAGAGTTCTTGAATTATGATCTTTTGCAGCTAAAGAGCCAAACGTAGGGTAATTAAAAACATTTTCTGGAGTGTATAACGTCATTATTTCTTTCGAATGTAAGTTCCTCATTCCAGTCAGCACAACATCAGGTAAATGACAGAAGTACCTGGTGTAGTTGAAGTTGTATCAGTACATTGTAGAATGTATTTGAACAGTCTTGTTTATTTGGTGACATTTAGTTAATATAAAAGACAATAATACATTTTGTATCAGGTTTTTTGTGAAGCTGGCTACTGAACTGATTTGAAAAAATGGCATTTCTGAATTTTGCAAAGCTAATTTTATGTTTTGTTAATTCCTAATGAATATATATTTTGAAATATGTTTTAAAACTTTATTAAACTTTTTTTTGTGTGTGTGCATGTGTATAAAAGGTTGACCAGTTGAATTCCATATTTAAAATTAATGCTTTTTCTCTTCATATTACAGATGATCAATGTGGGAAAAGGGAGTCAAACATATAATCTTACAGGATTAATTCCCAATACTGTGTATGAGTTGTCAGTTCGATGTCGCTCGGCAAAAGCAGACGGTGAAGAAATGTGGAGTCAGCCTGCTGTTATAGTGGCTCGTACCAACCCTGATGGTAGGCTTAGAACTAAAATTCCAGCTACTCAATAATTTTACACTTCCCTGCTCTATTAGTATGAGATGTAAGTTAACTCAAACAGGGTGCCAGGAAAGCTGTAAACAAAATTATTTTTTAGCCACACGACTAATTACTCCTCCATTCATAGTTTTGTGTGTCTTTGTTTACTGTTTGGTGTAATGCAGATAACTCAAACAGGATACTAATGAAACTGTACAGGATTATGTTTTTCACCTTTGTAACCAGAAAGCTTCTACATCATTTTGTTTAAATAGATTTTTTTAGCTTTTACTCGTACTAACAAACAATTCATATTAATGTAGCATTAAATAACTTTAATTTTTGAATGGCCAAAATATTCTTTACTGTTTTTGTTTATTCTGATTATTAGATTGGATTTTTATAAAGTATGTCACTGATCATCTATACCCATATGATTTTTAGGAGATAGCATATTTGTTCCATTTGTAAAACATAGATTTTGTTCCTAGTCAATAACTATAAAAATATTACTGAAGCCCTTACAAATATTGGTTTGTAAGGTCATTTCAAAATTTCCTTTCACTTGAATTGAACCTTAAATAGCTGAATTTTTAAGTTTAATTAAAAGAGATTATTATAAATGAAGGTATAATTTGTGTGAGAATCTGTATTATAATGTTAATATTGTAA